ATGAATATGTCAAGTCGAGTCGGTTTATAGAATTATACTTTCCAAGCATGTCGAAATTGTCTAAGAAATTGTTAAGTGACTGTTTCTTGAAAAAAATATAGAAATCTGATGAGGACGCATTAAAGATTGCAGTATTATATTTCATTCACAGTTTCCTATTTTCTATTACTAATGATGATTTGATAACAAAGAATGATTTTCTGTTGGTTGAATCTGGTGATTTTGAGACTTTTCCTTGGGAAAAAGTGGTTTTTAATGCTACGTTGGAGTCAATGAAGGATAAGGTTCGTAGCAGGAGAGAGATGTATCGATATGATGGTTTGCCTTTGGCATTCCAGTAATGGTTTTATGAATGCTGCCCCTATACTCAAAAAAACCTCACTTACCGGATTGGAGATCTTGTGCCATGCATACTAAACTTGACTGTAAAAGAAAAAGGTGACCTTCAAGAGGTTGAAGAAAGATTTTTTTTTTTTTAAGTCAAGAGCAGGTAAAAAAATATTTTTGATTAGTTTATAACATTTTGTAGCAATACATATGAATCTACTTTTGATACATAAATTATGCATTTCTGATACATAAATTATATATTTATGATACATAATATCAATTAACTGTATGGTGTGTAGTTTCTACAAGTACTATATTGGTTGTCTTTTATTTTTTTAAAATTTCATGATTGCTAAGTTTTTTTTTATTTGTAGTTGGTGTTTGGTAATATTGCCCCAACAAATGTTAAACAAACAAGGCTTGATTTGCATGATTTTGTCCCTGTGTATGAAGATCAAAATGCTGAAGTTAATCTAATAGATGATGTTGATGATTTCAACACTCAACCTAAAAAGAAATGCTAAGAAGCACCCAAAAAATAAGCAGGAATCACAACCTATTAACAATGAGAATACGGATCCACAGCCCAGTAACTTGAGTTCAAGTGAGAATGAGCTGAAACTTTTGAGAAGTGAAACCAACATGGTACCGTTCTATTTTGACTTTAAGCAGTTTCGACAACTTAATTGATATTCGATTTCACTCTTTCTTTTATAGGTAAACGACAAGGTTTCATATTTGGAGTAGTTAATGATTACCTCGGTTGAAAAGGTTTTTAAAGCTTTAGGTGAACGCGATACTTTAGTATTCTCATGACTATGCTTATTTGTTATTTTTACCTATTATTATAATTTTTATAATTTTTTGTATATTTTTTCTGAACAGGGTAATAGAAAAGATGACGATCATCATGATAGTCATGGCCATTATGATACTGGTGATATTCATAAAGATTATTTTGGCGATAAGGAAGTTGCAGAGAATAATTTTGGTAGTGAGGAAGTTGTAAAGAAAAATATTGACATTAAGGTAAGTCTAAAGCAAACCGTTATTGTTATTGAGGGTATGGTGAAGGATTCTATAGAAACTGATAAAAGTAGTGAAGGAGTTGGTGATGACGAAGCCTTGATTGAGGATGTCGAGCCTAAAATCACTGCAATCACCCAGAAGTTTTGTGAAAAGTTATTGGTGGAGGATTCTGTACAAGTTGTTGGTAAAAACAGTTGTGAGGAAGTTGGTGAGAACAATGGTTGGACTAGTGATGTTGAGGCTCAAATAACTGCAATTACCCAAAAGTATTTCAATCAAAATATTGTACATGGTAATTGTTTAGGAGTGAATACAAATATTGCTACTATGCAAGAGGATCGTATAGTTGTTGTTGATCATGACACACCTGAAATGATCCCTAGAGAAAGGAAACGAGCAGGGGTCATGAAGTCACCATTCATGAACAAATTTGACTCTGGTGGCACCATTCAAGTTGCTCAAGATAAGCCAACTAAGTCAAAGAAGCCAATCTTGACAAATAAGTCCATCTTCACTATAAAGTATCCTTTTCAGAAAAATGTTGACAATCCTATTGATTTCAGAATATTGTGTAAGTGGAACACTTTCATCAATTGAGGCTTAAGGACTAATGCACCGTAAGTTTTATGTTTCAGTTTTTTCTTTTTCTTTTTTTTTCTTGTTTATTTTTCGTGTTTCGTGTTATGCACCAATCTTTTTATCCTGATTCATCATGGACGGTGTTTATACAGAGATTAGCAATAAGCTAAATAAAATATTTAAATTTGGAGCTGATGATATTGGAGAAAAAAATGGTTCTTCACATTTGCATATCCCGGCCTACCCTTGTGTGATTCAGTAAGTCAACGTTATAATGGTTGTTCATATTTTCAGTATATTGATGTTAATTTGTTAGCATAAATATCATTTCTTTTTCTTTTATCCATGTTGTAATTACATAAAGATTATAACTGTAATAAAATGAGAAATGAGACTCGCTAACCCATGGATAGCAGGCGGAAGAAAGGACTAGAGCTATATTGGCAATAGAAAACATAGTATCAACTTGGAAGAATATCTTTTTATGTATATTTGCAGTATCTTCTGTAAAATGTATAATCGATTTATACATAAAATATATATTTTAGTTTTCTCATACTGTAATATTCTGACAATGTGTGTTTATTCTTCATATTTCAGCATATTGATGTTATTTTTTATTATTTGGGAAAGAAAAGGAAGTACAGTGTTGATGTTCCAGTAAGATTCACAACTACCGACTGTTGGTTTAACTGCTTGATTTCGAATTTGTACAAGAAGTTTTTGAAAAAAAAGAGAGACATGAATTTGATTACTGAAACAAATCCAATTATTGAGTATATACTTGGGTGTTTTTTAAGATTTAATGTTCCTTAGTGTACTGTTGATGAAGTCCTTTTCCCTATAAATATGTCAAGAGGCACTGGATATTGGCGAGACTGTCATTCAAAGATCTACGCATTTATATATACGATTCCATGAGTGGAGCACGGCAGAATAGTGCAGTTCAGAGATCAATTGAGCCATACTCAGTGTTGCTCCCATATTTCCTTCATCGTATTGATTTTTGGGACACAAAGGAGAATCCAATGGGAATCTCCACCATTGATCCTTTTGAGATTCATGTCATTGATGGGTTGCCAACGCAAGATAACACGTAAATTATTATTGAATATTTCTGATAATTATTCATTTTTTTGTACATGAATTCCTATTTAGATATTATACTAACTTATTCGTTTATGTGCGACCTTGTATATAGTGACCGTGGTGTTTATGTTATTGCATTTGCTGAGTACATCATTCAAGGCAGCAATATTCCTGAAGCTATTGATATTGATGGGATTCGGAACCGATATGGTATATTGCTATGGAATTATGGAGTGAAGAAACAAAGAGCACATGCACTTAGTGATGACGAGTCTACTGGTAGATTGAAGGATCTAGCCAAAAAGGATAACAAGAAAAAGGGCAAGTCGCATTCTATTGTCGATGACATGGATTTGAAGGATAACAAGAAAAATGTCAAGTCGCATTCCGTTATTGATGACAAGGCTTTGAAAGATAACAAGAAAAAAGGCAAGACGCGTGCCGTTGGTGATGACGAGACTTTGAAGGATATTAAGAAAAATGGCAAGTTGAAGGGCAAGAAAAAGTAGTTTGGGATAGTTTAGCAAAAAATTCACATGTAGTTTTAAGATGAAGTAGTTTGGTTATGATATTGTCTTATGATTGGGTACAATTGCATACTTATATCACGTTTTATGCTTTTTGTTTAGGATGTTTTTGAACAATATGTTTGAAATGCTAATGTTGAATATTACTTTTAATTGCGACTTGTTTGTTTTCAGTTAATAGTGAAATTATGTAAGTTTCAGATTGTGTAGTTTTGACTTTTCTACAATTTTAGTTTTGTATTTTATACAGATAATTTGTTTCGACAAGTTTTACAATTTTAGCTGGTGTTGCTAAGTTGTTATAGGAAGTTTTATGAATGAAGTTTGGGGGCAGCTAAACTGTATATAAATTGTATAGCGACAGTCTATTTTGTATAGTAACAGTCCTTTTGTATATGTTTTGTATAGTGACATCTATTTTATATATTTTTTGTATAGTGACATCTATTTTTGTATATTATTTGTATAGCTATTCTGTATATTTTTTAGAGAAGTCATAGTCTATTGTATGTAAATTGTATATACAGTAGTGACGATTTTTTATTTTTTTTTGGTATAAATATACAAGTTCTATTTTGTATATGTTTTGTATAGCGAAAGTTTATTTTTTTATTTTTTGTATAGGAATAAAATATTATATATAAATTATATAGTTACAGTCTATTTTGTATATTATTTTTTTGTATAAATATACAAGTTCTATTTTGTATATTTTTTGTATAATGACAGTCTTTTTTGTATAGTGACATCTATTTTGTATATATTTTGTATAGCGACAATTTATTTTTTTATTTTTTGTATAGGAATAAAATATTATATATAAATTGTATAGTTACAATCTATTTTATATATTATTTGTAAAGTGATATTCTTTTTTGTATATATTTTTTGTATAATAACATCCATAATAGTATTTGGAATAAAACTTCTACCAATACTCTCATTTTGACAAAAAATAGCATCTTTATTCATACATCAGAGAGAATCTGATTGCAAATCTCATTATTTTTTCATTATTCTAATTGTAACATTCACAAGGAAAAATGTTACAAAATACTAAATCATTGATGAACATCTACTAGTTGTCTTGAGCATTCCTGCATGTTCTTATGTTGTGTCCTTATTTTTCACACAGTCCACAGGTAACTGTTTCAGTATACAGATATTCATAAAGTCCCTTGCGTCGCGACTTCGTCGGTCTTCCTGATTTGCCCTTTACTATTGGTGGTAGCACCACATTATCTAACACCTCTGTTGGAAGGTCCCATGTAGTTTCATCTAGAAGTGGATTACTGGCACTTCATATGTCTTCTTGAAGTATTGGTTGGTATAATAGGCAGAACAATATTTGGGTACTTCTATGTGTGTGTAGTCCAATACTGCCATAGCATGTGGACAAGGAATCTCATCCACTTGAAATCGTTTACACGAGCATTCTCTTTTTTGCTAGCATACTATGCTCCGCCTTTGTTCAGCATCCATTACTATATATACATAATCGGTTGAAGGTCTCACCTAAATTTAAATATATATCATTAGTAAAATAGGGATATGACAAGTATTAATGTATGAAATAAGACATGATAAAAGAATATTTACCGTCATCTTCTGCGACAAATAGCTATTTTCCTTCAGTACTTCGTTATATTTTTTTTCTAGGCCAGTAAATGCACTCATTGCAGTCATTCTATTTGTATTATTCCATTCCATAACCAAATTCATCATATAATCTAGCAAACTTATGATTGGTAGCTCTCTTGCCTCTTTGTTTCTTGCATTGAGTGACTCGGCAATATTTGAAGTCATCACCATGGATCTATTAACAGTGGAATGCGTTATGGACCACTTTTTAAAACCAACTTGGAACAGGTAACCCCTTACCCTCTTATCAATGATGTCCATATCTTGCATGAGGCGATTAAAATCTTCAATTTTGTATGCTTTAACCATTGCAAAAAATACTTCTCTCATCCGGTCATGGTTCTTCTTGAACTGCTTCTTTATGTTATTCCAAAGATGAAAGATGATGACACAGTGAGATACCTCTGGACACACAATTGAAGCACCCATCAATATGCTTGCATGACGATCGGATACGATACACATCCTTTCTCTTTCCCCAAAATCCTGTCTAAACATTTCAAAAAACCATTCCCAAGAAGCATCATCTTCAGAATCGACAACAACATATGCTAGTGGAAAAAATTTACCTGGTTAAGCAAATAAGAAAGCATCCACATGTTATTTTTGTTATACACGGATAAGAACTATCTATACCATATATAATTATTATACAAGTCTGCGACATATTCACCTGCCGCATTTTGTACGCTAGCTCTTAACATTGTTCCCGTGTGTGATGATTTGAGGAATGTCTCGTCAACCACTACAACAGGGTAGCAGTATTTCCATCTTATGATTGATGCATTTAGTGCGACAAAAACATACATGAAGTGCCCATCCTCTGATTTATGTAACATTGTGACAGAAACAGAATTTGTCATATTTATCATATACAAGTGACCCGGTAGTTTACTATAAGATTCGTGTGGTATCCCTCTTAGCAGTTCAAGCGCCCTTTCCTTTGTTCTATAAGCTTTTACGTAACTCATATTAATCCCATATTGTTGTTTTATGTTGCTCATGATGTTTGTCGGAGTGTATATTATTTTTGGATTGGCATATTTGTTGCAAATCATTTTTGCAATGGCTGACGAAATAGCATGACGTTGTGAAAACAGTCTACTCGTCTCTGGACAAGTGTGAACATCATTGAACCGTCTAACCTTGAAGACATTTGATTTGTGTAGACTTGAAGATCTAAGACTCCATTTGTAACTTTCATCCACGTATTTAAGACAATACCTATTTAAAATATAGTGTTATGATAATGCACTTCTTCAGATTTTTACACTTGTGTCTCTAATAAACAAGCAGTATACATATGCAATCTCATTATACAATAATACAAGCAGTATACACAAAATTACAGAGAAGTTCAATCTCATACGTAGAAATCATACCTTGTTGTAGATGATCTATCAACTATAAATTGATATTTTTCTCGTATTGCGTAGTTCTTCATTACACTAATGAGTGTATGTTTGTCCCAATATAACTGACCTTCTGTAATTTTTTCATGTTGTGGATTGTCTATTATACAATTTTCCTTCATTATTTCAATCTTGTCTTCTTTTCCATGATTATCCATCATCTCTACAATATTAGTTCCGTGTACTTATTCTACGTTCTAACATAGTAAACCAGCTGAAGTTGTTGTGAGTAAGTTGTCACCCAAGTATGAACTTGAATATGAGTATTCGGCACTTGAATACAGAGTTTTCAACGTTATGCATAATAAATATTCAGTGATATCCAGGATTTTATTTTTCACCTCCATATACAAGCGCACACTCATATCATTGTATATTGGAATTGCTATATAGCCATCATTCACTGTATATTATATCCACATCGCGCTTGTAATTGAATCTATATACAATTGCTTGTATATCTCATTAACAAAATACTCATAGCTACATCCCGAATTGATCAACACGCCATTAACAAGGAAATTAATAAATTTACTTTCACTTACCCATTCACCACTGTGTTGAAGTAAAATCAGAATTAAAATTGGAACAATAGTTCCAACATTCACAATCTCCATAGACATTAGTTGAGTTTGTCGATTTTGTATCTATTTCACAATTTAAGAACAAAATCTCAACTCTATTAAGCTGATTGTAGGCCGCAATTGTGCAAAAATTTTGAATTTCACCGTGAATATTTTGGAGCTCTTCTCTGGGTTTAATCTTCAGAAACCCTAGAATTTTTTTGACAATGTGAATAATTGGGCAACTTTTATACTGTTTGGAGATTGAAGATCCCATACTGAACGCGTGAATTTAGGTAACAAAATCGATTATGAGTGCTTTCCTTTTTGTTTAAGTTGAGCGTATGGTTTCAGCTTTTTCAGTTGCTAGCCTTTATTATTATTTTTAGGCTATGACTTGTAAAGGGTTATGTTGTGGCTATTAGGTGATATAAGTTTGGCCCTAGTGACTACAAATGAACTTCTCTCAATAATTTTTAGTAACGTTGTGGTCTTTTCATATTTTTGCTTTAATTGTTTTGTCTTTTGAGTTTCCAACGATTATAAATGTAGCCTTTTCACATTTATGTTGCACTATATAAAAGCACAATAAAGTGTCAGATCACTTTATCTTTTTTTTTCTTGTCCCATAAACAACTACTATGGTATATTTTGCTAAACACTATTTTGACACGTAAATCTATTTATCTGTGTAAAGTTTTAAGCATCAAANGTATTGTGTGGTGGACATCATTTGCACAAGTTGTATCTCTTCTTTTACACCTAAGAGGCCAAGATATTTTTGCCTATAAACGGGAAGGCCATTAGTTCATTTTATACACACCAACAAGACTTGAGTCTTCATTTTTTGTTTCTTCCTTTCCTCCTTTATTAAGAGTATTTTGTATGAGAGTTAGTGTTGGCAAGCACTTGTGTAAACCCTTTCTTTAGAGTGATATTGTGAGGTTATTCTCTTACGGTATTTGGGATTAATTAGAGTGTTTACTCTAATTTTGTACTCTCTTTGGTATAGTGAAATTGCTCCTCTCCGCTTGTGGACGACGTAGGCCACTTTGATCGAACCACGTTAAATTTGTGTCTTCTTTCTATGCTTTAATTACCGTTGTTATCAACTTCAATTGTCTTTGTCATTGTCATTATATCGTTGTTTGGCAAAATTTTGCACTACCCGAATTCCCGATCCTAACAAATTGGTATTAAAGCCGGATCTAACCGGGTTAGTTTTAATAGCCAAAATGACTCTAACAAAGACCTATGTTGAGAAATTTGACCGAAGTGCAAACTTCAAAATGTGACAATTAAAGATGGAAGTTATCCTAATTCAGGATGGCTTAGACTTAGCGTTGCAAGGAAAGGAGAAGAAGTCGGATAAAATGACGGACGAGGAGTTTACCATCATAGATAAAAAAGAAAAAATCAGGTATCATCTTAAATCTCTCAAATGAGGTTTTACGTAAAATTTCTGTAGAAACCACAATCAAAGGCATATGGAAAAAATTAAAAACTTTATATATGAAGAGGACGGTGGAAAATAGACTTTACCTAAGGCAAAAGCTTTATACAATTCGTATGGGTGAAGGTACCTCTATTCTCTCTCGTCTTGACGCCTTTGATTCCATTCTTATGGATTTGAGTAATATAGATGCTAAAATTAAAGATGAGGATCAAACCGTGTTATTGCTTTATTCTCTACCCCCATCTTTTAAGCATATAAGAGATACTATGCTTTATGCAAAGGATAATATCTCTTATAAAGATATTAAATCTATCTTAAAATTAAAAGAACAGATAGATAGTGATCACTACTAGAAATTCGGTAAAAACCGACCAAAAAAACGACCAACGTTGGTCGGTAATGGCCAAAAACCGACCAAAATGCGACCATTTACGTGTGAACGGTATTTTTGTGGTCGGAAAGGAATACCGACCAAAGTTGGTCGGAAATTACCGACCAACTTTGGTCGGTCAATTAAATTAAAAAAAAAAATATTGCAAAAAAAACCGACCAAAGTTGGTCGGTTTTTTCCGACCAAAGTTGGTCGGTATTTTAATTATGTAATAAAAAGATTCACCATCTGGGAATCGAACCGGGGTCTGTACTGTGGCAGGATACTATTCTACCACTAGACCATTGGTACATTTTGTTTTAAGATTGTCTTTTATTTGATTTATACTCTTTAATTGCATTTTCGCACGAAAATAACCGACCAAAGTTGGTCGGTTTTATTAAAAAATAAAATTACCAACCAAAGTTGGTCGGTTTTTTTAAATGACCCGCCGAATTAACCGACCAATTTTGGTCGATTTTTTAAATATTAATTTTAATTTATTTTAATTGAAAAACCGACCAAAGTTGGTTGGTTTCTTGAAACATAAATTTTGCGGGACTCAAAAATAGTTTCCCGCATTTTTGCGCCAAAAAAAACCGACCAAAGTTGGTCGGTTTCAAAAAAAAAAATTAAAAAAAATATTTTGAGAAATCGACCAACTTTGGTTGGTTTTTTGGTCGGTTTTTTGACCGACCAAAGTTGGTCGGTCGACCTTGGTCGATTTTTGCCGAATTTTTAGTAGTGGATATTACTGGGGAAGCTAGTGCAACTCAAGCGGAAGTTGGCTTGTTTGTTAGGGAAAAATCCGACTCCATATCCAGATACAATAATTTAGAGTGTCGCTATTGTCATAAGAAATGTCACATTATTTTCGAATGTTTTAGGCTGAAAAATAAAGAAAAGCATAAGAAAAGGAAAAATGAGCACAAAAATACTCACACCGCCGAAGCTAGTGTAGCAATTGAGGAGATTTAGGGAACTATATTTTTAGCAACTGAAACAAGTTTCAGATTAGAAAATGAGTGAATTTTAGATTTCGGTTGTTCATATCATATGTGTCCTAGCAGGGACTTATTTTCTACATATGATTCAGTTGCAGGTGGAGTTGTCCAGTTGGGTACAATGTTACTTGTAACGTTATTGGCAAAGGTACAATTCGGATCAGAATACACGATGATGTGGTGAGAACTCTAACCGATGTTAGATATGTTCATGAGTTGAAGAAAATCCCATCTCTTTGGGCACTTAGAATCACTTGGGTGCAAATTCAATGGTGAATGTGGAGTTCTAAATTTTTTTTCAAGATGCTCTTGTGATCATTAAAACTCACAGATCTCGTTCGTTGTATACTTTATTGGACTCCACTTTTATAGGCCCTACCACAGTTTCGGTATAGACAACTTGTCCGATTTTTATGGCATTAAATTTTGACATATGCCCATTAGGGCTTTTACGGAGAAGGTGGAGCAAATTTACTATATCAACCAAAAATAGGCTAAGGTGGAGATTTGTAATTATGGCCAATATTTTGGCTAATGGAGTCCATCTCACGTAAACATAATCATCTTTGCAAAGTGTAGACTTTGTTGGCACTATTCCGTGGGACTCAAAAATATTGCATTGTGTGGTGGATATCATTTGCACAAGTTGTATCTCTTCTTTTACATCTAAGAGGCTGAGACTTTTTTGCCTATAAAAGGGAAGGTCATTTGTTCATTTTATACACACCAACAAGACTTGAGTCTTCATTTTTTGTTTCTTCCTTTCTTCTTTTATTAAAAGTGTTTTGTATGAGAGTTAGTGTTGGGAAGCACTTGTGTGAACCCTTTCTTTAGAGTGATCTTGTGAGGTTATTTTCTTAGGGTATTTGGGATTAATTAGAGTGTTTACTCTAATTTTGTACTCTTATTGGTATAGTGAAATTGCTCCTCTCCGCTTGTGGACGACGTAGGTCACTTTGACCGAACCACGTTAAATTTGTGTCTTCTTTATATGCTTTAATTGATGTTGTTATCAACTTCATTTGTCTTTATTTTTGTCATTATACCGTTGTTTGGCA